CTTCTAGTCTCAATTACTGAATGCTACAAGTGTCAAATTTCCAAAAATCTTACATTAATCAACCACATGACTCCTAAATGAACATCTCATATAAACGGAAGACCACGTAAACGCACAAATTAACTCTATAATGTGTTCGATTCATCATTTTGTCGGCAGCAACAAAAGCCGATGATTCGGATTAACAATGACCGTGAGGTCGTATCTAAAAGAAAAATTGCCATGATAATTCGGATTATATGCTTTTAATATACTCTGTAGGTGTTCCTATAGCTGGCAGCTATATTCCGGAGAAGGAAACTATCAATGGTGTGGTCATTTATCAAGGAAATTGAGCAATAAGGTAATATCTGATAACAGTTGAGAAGCATTATGTTTTCACTACATCAAATCTATCATCGGTATGCCTCTACACCGCATTGATGAGTTGCTAGTGAGCACGATACAACCCTGTCTGCGGTTGGTCATGGTAACGGAAACGGGAAGCAAATGCGCATTTGGAAAATAGGATTAGGTTCAAATTCAGATTCAACTTTATTTTCCATTTGACTGTATAACAGTGTAGGAATCTGTCAGAAATCGAGCACCTTGGGGTTGGTAGGATTCCCGTCACCTTCTTGAACATAGTCACGGAACATAGCTAGTTTTTTAAAATTATCTTTTTCTCCATCCAATCAGCATCTGCTTCTAGTCTCAATTACTGAATGCTACAAGTGTCAAATTTCCAAAAATCTTACATTAATCAACCACATGACTCCTAAATGAACATCTCATATAAACGGAAGACCACGTAAACGCACAAATTAACTCTATAATGTGTTCGATTCATCATTTTGTCGGCAGCAACAAAAGCCGATGATTCGGATTAACAATGACCGTGAGGTCGTATCTAAAAGAAAAATTGCCATGATAATTCGGATTATATGCTTTTAATATACTCTGTAGGTGTTCCTATAGCTGGCAGCTATATTCCGGAGAAGGAAACTATCAATGGTGTGGTCATTTATCAAGGAAATTGAGCAATAAGGTAATATCTGATAACAGTTGAGAAGCATTATGTTTTCACTACATCAAATCTATCATCGGTATGCCTCTACACCGCATTGATGAGTTGCTAGTGAGCACGATACAACCCTGTCTGCGGTTGGTCATGGTAACGGAAACGGGAAGCAAATGCGCATTTGGAAAATAGGTTCAGGTTCAAATTCAGATTCAACTTTATTTTCCATCTGACTGTATAACAGTGTAGGAAATTGTCACATACAAAAAGAAGAATACAATACGGATTATGGGCCGGCGGAATCATCGGGCCGTACTTCTTGAAAGACGTCAATGGCCGGCACGTAACTGTGAATGGCGAGCGCTACCGTGCGATGATAACAAACTTTTTTTACCCAAAATGGAAGAGCTGGACTTGGCTGACATGTGGTTTCAACAAGACGGTGCCACATGCCACACCCCACACGACACAATGGCCCCATTGAGAGGCGAGTTCGGTGAACAGTTTATCTCACGTTTGGGGCCCGTCAATTGGCCGCCTAGATCGTGTGATTTAACGCCGTTGGACTATTTCTTGTGGGGCCATCTCAAGGCTAATGTCTACAGGGATAGACCAGCAAAGATTAACGCACTGGAAGCCAATATTGAAGCATTTATTCGTGAGATACCGGCCGATATGTTGGAGAGAGTGTGCCAAAATTGGACCTTGCGCATGGGCCATCTAAAGCGGAGCCGCGGCCAACATTTACATGAAATAATCTCAAATAAAGATTTAATCGTTTTTTCAAATTTTTTGTGTTTTTTTTTTTGTAAATCAAATCATATACCTCTTAAAAAATCACCCGTTATTAAGAAAGGGTGTACAAAGTCATATTATGTAGATGTCATCTACCATTCATAAGCTTATTTCGTTAGGCAATAGTTCGTACATGACAACCGCAATGCACTGCAATTACTCACAGTACACAGTCTCAATTGAATTCCGGGTTTTGAAAAATTACCAACTGTCACCCGCCTACGCGGAGCATCGACGGCTCGTCATAAAAACAAACATAATATTTATGAGAACATCAAACTGTCAAGGTGCTCGTATAGTTTTACAGCATTGACGCATTCGGAACAGCCGGACGAATGCCTTAATTAGTACCTTTAAAGGTGGTTTACCACAGTTGAGTCTACGTTGTGTTTGTATTTTCTACAACCTGAGAAGCAAGAACAAAACTGAGACAAATCCAAAACCCTTGTTCCCATTAAGCGGGCTACATTTTGTTTTAATTTTGTTTTTGTTTTTGGTCATTTTCTACTAGTTGTCGCGAGGAAGCCAAATCTTAATATCCAATCAACATTTTTAGAGAAGAAGTTTTTTATTCTTAGTTAAGTCCGAGGAAAAAACTACGTACTAAATATCAGTGACATATCTGAATCGGTTCTGAAAATATTAATTAATTTCCATTTTTTTTCTAAAACGTCAACACCCCGAGCTTTTGTAAGGAAACATCTTTGGACCATAGTGTGTAAAGCAAACTAACATTAATTTTTCTGGTAAATCCACACCCTTAAATATTCGCATATCATTAAGGAATACCCTGTATATGTACAGTGCCTATGATAAAATAGGTGTGTCTGTAGCTATGAGTCTATAAACTAGCCAACGAAATATACTAAGTGACATATAAATCCGAACACCCAGTTTAAATAGTTTTATTTTAATAAAATTTTGTATAAGTACTTAATGAAGCATAATAAGTAAATGATAAAAATGTCAAAATGATTGCACTGCTTTAAAGCCCTTTGACCTTTAATAATGTGTGGATGCACCCTGATGTGCTACGCATTCTCCAACGCGCCTAGGCATGCTTCTGATCAGGTGGTCAATGTCCTCCTGTGGTATCTCATTCCAGGCAACCACCAACTCCTCTCGAAGTGCTTCTAGAGTCTGAGGAGGACGTTGCAAATTGAGCAATCTCCTACCCATCATATCCCACACGTGCTCAATTGGGGATAAGTCGGGAGATCTTGGTGGCCATGGTAACAATGTGACATCATTATGTTGAAAGAAGTCTATTGTGACTCTTGCAACATGTGGTCGGGCATTATCTTGTTGGAAAGTTGGATCTGCCAGGGTGTCAAGATAGGGTAAATGGGGTTCTAGAACTTAGTGGATATAAGGCTGCGCGTTCATGTTACCTCTGATGAAGATTAAAGGTGACCTGGAACCATAAGCTATAGCACCCCAAACCATAACTCCAACAGTGTGATGAACATGTCTTTCAACAAAAAACTGTGGATTCCTCCTTTCACCACGTCGCCGTCTAACCCTGGCACGACCATCGTGCATGCCTAAACAAAATCGAGACTCGTTACTAAAGACAATACTGTTCCATTCCTGATCCCAGAGTGACCGTTGTCTGCACCACTCAAGGCGATTACGTCGGTGTTCTCGAGTTAAAGGGAGGACCCAGTGTGGCCGGTATGAAAACAAGCCAAAACTTCTCATTCGTCGGTAAACACTTCGCATGCCAAAATAGGTCTTCCGTGTTCTGCAAACCATTCATTTGCAATGGACCTGGTAGTGGAGAAACAGTCCCTTAAGGCCAATAATCTTAGGCGGCGATCGTCACGGTCTGTTGTTCTACGGCGGCGTCCAGTGCCCCTTGCGTACGGCCTTCTCGAAGCCATGCCTGACAACACCTAACCACAGTGTCTACATTTCTTTGCACTCTAACTGCAATTGCCCGAAAAGAAAGTCCAGCTTCCCGAAGTCCCACTATACGGCCCCTATCAAACTCACTAAGTTGACGAAATCGTAAAGGTCTCCGTACTCTAGGCATCGTAACCGATCGTAAAGGATGTCAAGAACCAAAATCCGCCAACGTTGATTCTTTACTGCGGCTGAATATTCATTTTTAGAGCGTTAGTGAATTGAAAAAAAGGAGTATAAAAACCGGAATGTCCAACTGATAAGGCTGAAAATTTTTTCACTTGTTATTTACAGTAAGATAAATACATTCACCAACTTTTATTAAAATAAAACCATTTAAACTGGGTGTTCGGATTTATATGTCACTTAGTATACCTTAACCCCACATGTATATGTATTAATAATTAAAATATTACTTAAAAGAAGAAAAAACGCCAATACAGATATTGAGTTCGATATCATTTATCTAGAAGAGGAATGTCATCCAAAATCATGATACTGGATTGCATGAAACATCGCACATCATTTCACAATTTTCTGAGTGACTCAATTATTACACTAATTGGGAGAAAAGTTAGATATCAATTTGTCTGAAAAATCGATTACTAGTGACACTAAGGTTCCTTGCTACTGGGGACAGCTATCAAAGCTTGATGTACCTATAAATTTATCCAGCGTCTCAAAAAAAATGTCTTATCAATAAAAAAATACGTTAATTACTTATCTACTGATTTGCTGCAAAATTCGTGTTTATACTAGCAAGGCGAAAATAGGAAATAAAACACGTTCATCTCGTCCGTAAGTAAAAAGGGATTGAAAACCAAAGCCCCATCTACAAGACAGTAGCAGAACCAAACACTAACTCTTTTCAAAGTTGAGTCCCAAATTTATTTTTGAGCGATACAGTATATGGTTGCCTATTTACAGGTAGAATACGCTAATTAATGGTAAAAGATACGCACTTACCATTACCAATGCGCTTACGTTGTATCCCAATGTTTTGCAAAATAAATTACCTGAAACAGAAAAAAAAATGTTAGTACAATATAATATCTAAAATCACGTTATTATTTCAAGCAACAAAATCTAAGCAGTCTTGTTCAAAGCAAGTTCATACGGAAGTTACCTTACGTCTATAAACAGTAACACCAACAGAAGAGGAATAAAATAAAGATAATAATTAGCTGTACTTTTATATAATAAGCATGTGTTTTTGAGTAAGCAGCTCAAATTTTATTAGCTACCATCTTCAAATTTCAAATGTAATTCGGTTATTAGAAGTTAATGTAATTCCAGTTCACCCATCACTACACCTTACAGGAATTTTGAGGTTATACTAATATCGAGCGTTCAGTTCGATGCTTTAAGTTGTGAATAGTTATAGGTCTAACAGAGTAACTAAACAAATAATGTATAACAATGGAAACTAAATTAGACGAGCTTCAACAAACATTCTTAAAAATATCCAAAACCAAGTTAAGTTTGACGAAAATCTCCGGAGACCGTTTGGATTTAGATTACGGGATTGTTTTACCCAAAACAGTAGCTAATCAAGTGTTTAAGTATCTAGAAGATACGATTGAGTATTACGAAGGCGAATTAACCCAGGTAAGACATTATAATTTTATTAGATAAATACTCGTACCGCTATGAATAAAATGCAAAAGTCTGGTGAACCGACGACTCGTCCATTACGTTAATAGAGATGGGCCGTTATTTTATAACTAGATATTTACGAACGGTTATTTCGCGTTAGCGTTCTTCAATTGTTTATCTCTCAACACCGTTAATAGGTTCACTAACAACAACAGTTAAATTAACAACCTACTAAATACACAACTTTAGTGGCAAGATAACATAACGTTGATGTTATAGGTGAGGATTTTTGGTAAATTCCATAAAATACCCAGACAACAAGTTGCTTTCGGAGACGACGGACTCAAGTACACATTCTCTGGTGTCACCGTACCTGCCAAACCTTGGACGAATGTTTTGGACAGTGGTTGCTTGACCGGACACCATTACAACTTTGTTTTGATAAATAGGTAGAGGAAAACGAATAAAGGCGTCACATTTTGTATGAAATCTACTTCTTGCTTTTTGTAGATATCGAAATGGCAAAGACCATATAGGAGAACATAGAGATGCTGAAAAAGATTTGGACAGAAACAGCCCGATTGTTTCTATTTCTTTAGGCCAACAGAGGAACTTTATCCTCAAGCACGGCGAATCGAGGGGAAAGAACAAATCCAAAAGCATTCGACCTGGTAAGGAATAAGATCAGTTGCAATATTTGCGTCAGAGGGGTCACAAGAGGGTGTTCATTTCAGGGGAGGGGGTTGCTACGACTGAAAATTATAGAGCTCATGCCTCTATAATCATCGGTGAGCGCGGGGGGGGGGGGGGGGGGGGGCATCGACAATTCATTCGACATTGAAGAGCACCTTGACGATGTTAATTCGCCCAGGGGCATCCCTATGACCCACTGGATCCGCCCTTGGTAGTACACTTTCTTTGGAATGGAGATTTATTAACGCTCCAATCTTGAACTGGCAATGATATTGGAAATGAATGATTCTTAAAAAAGTGACAAAGACGTAACATATATTTTTGCTTTATTGTTTTTTAGTGAAGTTGGCACTTGAGCATGGCAGCATTCTCTTGATGAATCCACCAACAAACGAAATTTGGTACCACAGTTTGCCTCCATGCAAGACCGCGCCGGGTGTTAGAATCAATTTAACGTTCAGGAAAATTATAGAATAGTATATAAATAAACTAGGTCTCAATGAATATGATATATGTATAATCATTTTTCAAATTTTTAAATATAAAGTTTTATTTATTTGTACACACTGTTTCTTATTTCGACATTGTATATACACCTTGAACTTTTCAATGCGCCCAAAAATAATGTCCATTCGATACAATGGCTAGAAATACCCTCTACACGTCTAAAGTTTATTCAGTACGTTTTATGCGTTACGAATCTGTGTCTTTCTGCTTTCTTGAACAATACCACCGTTGAATATTAAAACTGGTTTAATATTCCCCTGAAGATCGATTACTTGGGCCAAGCTGTTCAACTACTAGGAAACGGTACCTTTCACAGTAATAAAGACTCCAACGCTTAGTTTCTCTATTACGTATATAGGCATCTCTAGTGACCAAGAAGAAATGACCGAATATTTATGTGGCTCTAAGGCTTTCACACAAAACTTTAAAGTCGAAAATCCGCGTAAAGGTCGATTTATAATCTCTGACATTGTTGTACCGCCAACGGAGCTGTCATTTTTGCATTATTTGTGACATATTTGAAGACCACACTTGCTTGCAGATCATTGCTTTTGTGTTTGTTTTTTCAAACTCCGTTTGTGACTTGGATTTTGCAAGAGTGGATGATGCAAATCATTCTCACACCTTGCAATTCTTTGCTATGCCTTGTTGCGTAATTGGAATCTTAAAGATGAAAAAACTACAAGAGCGACAAAGAAGGCAGCTTAAAATCAGACCTTAAAGAGGAATAACTAAAAAACTAGATGCAGTGCCTTCATCATTTGTAACGCACCTCTACTAATAATTCATATTATTATTCGTCGATTACATAAGCAATCATTTATTACGTATATTTCATTTCTTCTTACTTGCATGATAGAAATCAGTGCGTTTCTTACAATGGTTTCAAATCTTCACCTTACCCTTATTTATATGCTGACTAATAGTTAACTTTTGTTCATAGATTATACCTAAATCACGTACATCAGAGCATCTTTCTAGCACAGACCCATCAATAGAGTACTGATATTCGCAAACATTAATTTTCCTGGTATAGCTGACTATTTTACACTTCCTCACATTAAGCTCCAACTTGTTTTCTACACACCAAGACAGCACAAAATTTAACTGGTGTTGTAGCTTGATACAATCATCAGGAGTATTTATCTGCGAATACATTTTTAGGTCGTCAGCAAAGCATAGGCGTTCACATTCAACTGAGTCACAGAGGTCATTAATAAATATCAAAAACAGTAATGGTCCCAGGTTGGACCCCTGAGGAACTCCAGAAGGTGCCAAGTAGGTCTCAGATTGGAAGCCAGATCGTGTTTATCCCAGTCGTGGGACTCCCCAATCAGCGATGTTGCTCAGATTTGAAATGCATCCTCTTGAGCTGAGAACAGTTTGTAATAGTTCAAAATTCCTTTACAAACTCGTACACAGTGATGTTGATTCTTCAGCTTGATTAGCTAAAATTGATTTTCATGTACCATCCCGCATTTCCCGAAGATTTCTCGCTTTTTACTTAAAAACACCAAATTAAGTCACCCGTGTACTTTATGTGCTCCAGCTTTAACACCATAGCTGATAATTGTGACAATCATCATGATAAAGTCAAAGATATATTAGCTGTATTCAGCGACTACTATTATTCAATTTACAACATTTAAGACATGTAGGTGAGTAGTTTTTCACTTTTTTCTTTAATTTTTTTTTATCAGAAACTGGGCGAGCTATGAGTGTAGTTAAAAATACTGTAACGTAAAATTGTATTAAATTACATTGCCCTTTTCATTATCATTATTATTATTATAAGCAAAAGCAAACCTATATTAATGTCAAACAGAGCGAAAAACCAGCTAATTTGTGGCATAAACACGTGCTTATCAGGGCTCATTCCATTGGTTGAATCAGTAACTGTCACTGCATAAAAATAAAACTTCGTTAAGTCTGGCTTCGGCGTTCCGGAATTCCTGCTTATAAACAGTTTAACGTCAAGCTCGTGATTCAAGATCTGCGCTACGACCTTAGGTGCTTAGCTCAGCCCACTATTACGAGTATATGATATGCTGAATACGATCTTAGTATAATACGGTTTAATAGGGCAGTATAATCACTACCATTATCAATGCGCATTTGTAGTTTGTGAATTATTGATTATTCAGGTGAAATATCGACACAGTTTGTTCTATTGTCCTAACTCACCTGCGATCGGAATGTCACAGTTAAAGTTCAACAGTTGCCAGAGGAGAAACGAGAGAACTGTAAAGTTTAAGTACCAGCAACAGCACCAGCCGGATATTGGCGTGGTACTGGTACGACTTTGATGATCTCACGCGACGTCGCTTTTATTATATCAACCGATGGATAGATTTATCCTGGATTATAAACGCACGCATAATTTGAGCTAAAATGGTTACGCATAGAAGAAATGTTTAGATTCTCTCTGGCTGTCATATCACACAAAATAGCAACTACCTATACAGAAAATTGTTGTCTCGTCGACGAAAAAATGACATTAATTTCAGTTTAAAAACCAACTCGAAATTCCGTTATACAGGGTGTTTCAGTTTATTGTTGCATAACTTTAAGATTCGATAGAACTTTTAAAATTAATGTATAAAGTTTATATAAACATGGGTCGAAAAATGTGTGGCTTCCGAAATACAGGGTGTTTAAATTTACTTTCTAAATAGTTTTTTTTTTAATATTTCGAACAATATTTGATGTATAACAGTGAAAATTGGTATACGAGGGTTTTTGGTACGACAAAACGAACCATGGGCATAGTTTTACTGTAGCCGCTAGAGGGCGCTCTCTACTGAACCTGTAGTGTATTAAAATGACCGAAATTTTTTTCTTAGTGCAATTTTTTGCTTTTTGAATAAAAAAACTGATTCTTCGCACTTTTCAACATAAAAAAGCTTTCCTATGAGTTTTCGTTATATATAGCCGTTTTTGAGATATTTCGATTTTTAAGGTTCGATGCATTTTTAATTATTTATGGGAAAATAATATTTTCTTTTACATTTTCGATTTGGGAATTACAAGTAATTAAGATGATCGTTTAGATTGTGTTTTTAAACACAGCAATAATTCCTAACTCCAAATAAACACAAAAAACAGAATATTAATTTGTTTAATTTTCCAATATTACTTTTAACAAATTAAATTAATTATTTACAACTAAAATGCTATTGGATAGTTAGGACAAACATACAAAATCTAAAGTAGTTGCTCGAAATGTAAACCCAATTGTTCAATACACAATTCACATCTACGAATGATCGAACGTGGTATAGCATTATTCAAATAAGGCCTTATTTCGTCACATGCATTCCTGATTCTGTCTATTAGCATATCTCTTGTGGTTACGGGAGTATGGTACACTTTTTATTTTAGAAATCCCCACACAAAGAAATCTAATGGATTTAGGTCAGGGGATCGTGGAGGCCAGGCGACTGGTCCTCCACGGCCGATCCATCTTTCTGGATAATTTTCGTACAGCCAGTTTCTAACTATTCTCGAATAATGAGCTGGACAACTATCAAGCTGGAACCAGACCAATCTTCTTAAATCTAACATAACATCATCCCACATATTTGCATGTTCAGCCTTTAAAAATTCCAAGAAGGTCGCAGCATTTAACCTTGCAGGCAAAAGGTAGGGTCCAAATAGTCGATTACGGTAGATACCAATCCACACGTTCACACTAAATTCATGCTGAAAATTTCTTTCCCGAACTGCATGCGGATTTTCATGCGACCAAATATGTTGATTATGAAAATTTACCACTCCACGTCTAGTGAAGCATGACTCATCGGTCCATAAAACGTTACTTGAAAATTCCCTATTATTATCAGTTCTATCAAGAATCCACTGACAAAATGTGATTCTTCGTTCTCCGTCCCCTGGCTGTAGTCCTTGCGCAGGTTGCAAATGGTAAGGACGTCTATGGTCATTTCTAAGAACACGATGAACATGGCTTGCTGAAATTCCCAAGGCACCAGAAACTCTCCTAACACTTGTGGTCGGATCTCTATCAAACTCACGCAGAATCATACGGGTAAATCTGCGCTGACGAACATTTATGTTTTGATCCCTTTGGAGATTTCCAAAACCATTTTCAATTATTTGGCGATGCACTCTTACAAATACTGAGCGTATTCGCTGGCTACTTCTGCTGCGTTTCCATTTGCAAAGCCATACACAAAATGAATATCCGCATACTCTTGATTGGAGAATAAAAATGGCATTTTTATAAAACTTACAAAAAAAAAACAGGTAAAAGAAACTAAATTTCGTGCATTCACAATTGCAAAAAAACGTTTCAGGTTTCAACAGACAACAAAACTAACTGTCAACTAATTGACGTTTAACCTTATTCTGCTTTCAATTTCAAAAATATTTGCAGGCATAGCCTACTTCTAAAAATTATCGAGATACTGACTTTTTAACGTTATTTTATCATAAATGTTTAAAAATGCATCGAACCTTAAAAATCGAAATATCTCAAAAACGGCTAACTATAACGAAAATCCACAAGAGAGCTTTTTTATGTTGAAAAGTGCGAAGAATCAGTTCTTTTATACAAAAAGCAAAAAATTGCACTAAGAAAAAATTTTCTGTCATTTTAATACACTACAGGTACAGTAGAGAGCGCCCTCTAGCGGCTACAGTAATGGTTCGTTTTGTCGTACCAAAAAACCCTTGTATACCAATTTTCACTGTTCGAAATATTTAAAAAACACTATTTTAGAAAGTAAATTTAAACACCTCGTATTTCGGAAGCCACGCATTTTTCGACCCATGTTTATATAGACCTTATGCATTAATTTTAAATTTCTATCGAATCTTAAAGTTATGCAACAATAAACTGAAACACCCTGTATACACTATTTCCTCAGTCATTCATGTATATCACCACCAAAATATATACTAAGTGACATATAAAATGCAACAGCCAGAGTTATTTATTGAATTTTGCTAAAAACTTGTAAACATATTTGCTACCATCGAAGTATACGCTGATAAAATGTTGGAAGCATTCCAAACCGTACTTTTTTTGTAAAAGCTTTTT